AAAATGTATGGTACCATGAAAGGCGAATTGAGTAAGCCACAGGGCATAGAGGTAAGCCACCTTTTCTGGAAGTTCAAGTGTGTCACAATAAATGTAAATGGCCCTTAAAAATCTGAGGTCAAAAGGGTTTGGTTAGAATGGTTTTTACGAAGGTTTGATGTAGATGTATGTTTTTTGCAGGAGCATAACCATAGGTTAGGGTGTGAATGCGTTTGCGGGTTATAACCTATTTGTCAGTATGCTTGCAATTAAAAGGGGGGTGGCAGTGGCTGTAAAGGAGACCAGCCCATTGCGTGTCATGGGTTGGGAGGAGGGGGGAGGGGGGAAAGGGGAGGGTCGTGAGGGTAGATGGGCACTGGGGGTGGGGAGAGTATGTTTCATTGGAGTTTATATGCCGGCATGCAACAATGTTAGAGTGAAAGTTGATTTTGTTCGTGATGTTTTGATGTATTATTTGCGGGGTCTACCTTCCATAACTGTCTTGGGGGTGACTGGAACTGTGTGATTAGGTATGGGGATGTCTCACCGAGGGGGGCGGGATGTGTCTTGGGTGCACTAAGGGATGTGTTAAGGGATGTAGGAGTTGTCGATGTGGTGGGGAGGGGGGAGTATGGGTGGAGCACACGTTCATTCGTGGGAATTATGAGGCGAGGTTAGATAGGATATATGTGATGCAGGGGATAGTGGTGGGAGAGGGTGAGGGCTTTCGATGTCGGTTTTTCAGATCACAGGGCGGTGATAGCTGATCTGCGGGTGGATGGTATAGTACGATATATATGCTGGGTATTGGAAATTGAATGTGAGGCTACTGCAGGAGGGGGATGTTGGCTCCTCCTTTGAGGAATGGTGGACACATTTCTGGGATGGCAGGGATGGTGAGATGGATTTGCTTGACTGGTGGGAGGTGAGGGCTAAGATAGGAATCGCGGAGTTTTTTCAGGGCACGTGGTAGGGAACAGGCACGGTGGCGGTATGGTTTGCAAAACTACCTGGAAGGACAACTGAATGCGTTTTACAACGGGGGGGGTAGGGAAGGTATGAAAGGGGATGTGGATGGTTTAAGGTGTAGGATTGCAGAGTTACATAATGACAGGTTTATCGCAATTAGAGTTAGAGCGGGGTTAGAGGAGGTGTTAAAGGGTGATCAACCATCAGGTTACGTTCTTGCGAAAATTTAGGGAAAGGCAAATGGTGACTACCATAGCCACAAGGGGTCGCTGCAGGGGGGGGGTTATGTGGGGGGGTAAAGGGCCACAATACGGACACTTTAGTGTTTTATGCAGAATTTTTGGGTTTTAGGGAGAAAGGGAGGAGAAAAAGGGGAGATGCAAGGAGAAGGTATTTGGGATATCAGGGTAATATTGTATTAAACAACGGGAACAAGAAACGGAGGGGGTATTAGTGGGGAGGACGGGGAGGGGGCGGTTTTACGGGATGATCGGGGTAAGACCCGGGCAAGATGGAAAAAACCGAATGATTTTTATAGAGTTTATTGGAGTGTATTGGGCAGGGTTTTAGTGGAAGTTTTGAATTATATGGGGCGCAGTGGGGGGATGGGAAAACACAAAAAACCGGACTTTGTTTAGTGCCGAAAAAAAAAGGAAAGGGGAAAAGAAACTGAGTGATTATGAGCGATATCTTTAAGTTGCGATTTAAAATTTATGCAAAAAATTCGGCAAAGACTGAAAAGGTTTTCTGGGATCAGTGATACAGGGGGGACATTTTGGCATCCCGGGTAAATATGAGGGACGGCATATCACAAAAGGGGTTTTTTATTGAAGCTGCACCGGCGGGGAATACTCGTTTAGTTTTGGCTAATGCGATGATTGTGTGAATAGGGTTTTCTTAAAATTTGTTTGGAAAATTGGGTTTTGGGGGAAGGGTGGTGAGATGGGTGAAAACCCTTGATAGGAGCATCATTAGGGTACAGGTTAAGGGAATTGGGGGCCCCAGTACTGATGGAGAGAGGTTTGAGGCAGGGCTGTCCACTCTCTCATTTATTTTTTTGCATGCGTACGAATCCATTTTATTGGCTAGTGGATAATGGGGGTGGGGGGGGGGGTATTGTTGGAATGAGAATCTACGGCTGGAAGGATGAGGAAGATCAAGAAATTTTGGTGAGTCATTCAGATATTTGGGGACGCTAGGGGTAGAGAGTTAATTTAATGAAGCGAGACTATTCGAGGGGGGGGTTGGATAGGAGGGCTGGGGGGGGGTTTTGGGAGGGTCAGTAGTGGACAAATTTTTTTTTTATTTTATTTAAAACCAGGCAAAATTTTGGGGGCCCCCTAAAATTTAACAAGATACAGGCATGAACAATAATCAACTTGACTACCACATACGAAAAACACAAAATTAAAAAGAAACAAACGGCTGCCGGGCCCAAAAATCAAAACCCCCTTTAAAATTGTCCACAAAAATTAATATATTTTATATATATATATAAAAAAATATAAAAATTATAAAAATATATAAATGTTTAAATATATACACTAATACATTTTAAATACAACCCACCCAGTAAAGTTTACACTCCCCCCCCATGAAAAGGGCCCACTTTCCCCTTTAGATACACATGACAAAACTCTTAACATACACTTTTTTAAAAGCAAAAAAACCCCAAAGACAATATAATAAAACACAACCAGCCCCTAAAGGGCTGACACTAAATACAAGGAATGTCGCCCTGAGGGCTCACACCACCATAGAACACAAACCCACCCTACCCTCATATACCCTAGGGTAAAATTAATATCGGCACGGGGGGGGGTTTAAGACACTACCGCTGAAAACTTCAAACCCCCCCCATGCCTAGTAACGTACTGCCGTCACCACTCAAACCACCAACAGTCCTTGATAAATTAGCATCTTTTAATAATCACCCTAAAAACACCTACACACATAAACCTACCACAAAAATAAATAAATTTACACATTTTTCCCCCACAGCAGATTTTTACCTGTCGAAAAAAAATTAACACACACCACAGAGAATGGAAACATTAACATCTAAAATAATAGACATGTGTATCACATGACCTGCTATTGCAGAATTACTTAAACCCCCCCCCCCCCCCAAGTGAAAAACTGACCAGTTTCACCGGGCTATACACAAAGTCAAAACCTTCACTTGAACATAATAAAAAAATGGAAAAAAAAAAAAAAACTTCTGTAACAATATAAAGCAAAACACCCCGGGCAAGATCTTACATTATTACAATACAAAACGTTCCACTAGTTAAAAAAACGGTAGAAAACTCTTATTATGACAATTTACATTGCCAATACTAACATTATAATTACGGGTTAAAATATTTTATATACAAAGGGCTTATTACATCCTTAAAAAAACATGAAGGAATCCTTAATAAATTATAATCATGGGTTTCACAATAACACCAAGACATTACTTGAATACACATTTGAAATCACCTAAAACATCCTTTCCGCACAAAATTTCCACACACACCACCAATCAACCCTCGCAACACACAAAACCCCCCCCCCCGCTCCCGGGAAGGCCACCCGTTCATCCCCCTGACCGTTTAAAAAACCCATAAACCCTCAAAAAAAAGTCCCGTAGCCCTCCGAAAACC